CCCATCGTGTCTGTGCTGGGGCTCGCTCCCCCACTGGAGCTCTCTCCTCTAACCCCATTCCCTGCTCTCTCTCTCCCCGTCCTGTCTGTGCTGGGGCTCGATCCCTGATGACCCTACTTGTCCCGAAGTCCACGGTGGCGTAGATGCCCTGCAGAGTCCCGCAGTTCAGCTCGTTGACCCGGTTACCGTCCGTGGTGAACAGGACCACCGAGTTGCCCAGGAAATGGCGCAGGATGGTGTGGAGTTGGCGGAGGTAATTATAGTCACACACAGAATAACTGCCGTACTCGTTCTCCACCTGCACAGCCACGAGAGAGAGAGAGAGAGGACATCTGTTCAGATCAAAACGGTCTCACATCGCTCTCTCACTCACACGGTCCCGAAGGGAGATAAACAAGACAGATGACCCCACCCTCCCCGCCTCCTAATCCCAGCCCTCAGCTCGGGTCCAAATCCCTGACTGTGCAGCGCCTTGAGACGTCCTCCCGACGTGAAAGGCGCTGTGTAAATGCAATTTGTTGTTGAAAGGCCAATGGGAATCTCTCTCTCTCTCTCCCTTTCCAAAAGACTGTTGACTATGGCTGGATCCAGTCACATTGTCCAGACTGGGGTGATAGAGGTTTGTCAAGTCGGGGGATCAAGGCATATGGGGCAAAGGCGGGTAATTGGAGTTGAGGTACAGATCAGCCGTGATCTGATAGAATGGCGGAACAGGCTTGAGGGGCTGAATGGCCTCCTTCGGTTCCTATGTGCCTGCCCGGTGCGGTGTCAGGGATCTCCAGTGAGCAGCCCAGTCTCTCGCTCGCTGGCCAGGAGTGGCTGGGAGGGTGTGGAGGGGTTGGGGGTAGTGAGGGGGCGCGGGGGGGCTGTAACCCGCCATCGCCAGTACCTGAGCCACACTACCTCCACGTCACCTGTACACTGATGATCGGTCCTCCATTCTCGTACAGTAACTCTCTCATCTTCGGAAGCAGCACCGAGAACCACCTGCGGACAGCGGTCAGGTAATCTGTCAGGGAGACAACAACAACTTGCACTTACACTTTGCCCCTCACACAGGGCAGTGGCCCAGACCATTTGACAGTGGCGGAGGGGAGGGGAGGGCTGGAGGAGGGGATGGGGAGGGGAGGGGAGGGCTGGGGGAGGGGAGGGGATGGGGAGGGGTGGGGAGGGGGAGGTGACTGTAAGCAAGAGGAAGGTCTTCAAGCGTGACCTGAAGATGGGCCGATATTATAATAATAACGATAATAATCCTGGCATTTGATGCAGCGCCCGATCACGTCATTGAGACGCCTCAAAGCGCTTCACAGGATACACTGTAAATTGTAGTGACTGTGTATTTTGTTGGCGAAACGCAGCGGCCAATTGAGCACAGGTGGGTGGGTGGGCGGGTGAGTCAGTGAGTGAGTGTACGTACGTAGGTCAGACGATCGCAGGAGAATGGAGGGTTTCTGCAGGAGCCAGGCTGGGAGACCACCCTGTGACAAACATCTCACATTACTAACAGCAACCGCCCCTGACCCCCACCCCCCACACCCAGCAACACCCCCACCCTCGCCAATCCATGCCCACACCCAGTGGGTCAGCACCTGCAGTCACCCCCCTACCCCACCCACAGTCACACACCATCTTCCCCCCGTCACTCCCCTCTCCCCCCACCATCCCTTCCTTCCCCTAGTCACCCCCCACAGTCACCCAACTTCCCCCATCACCCCCCCCCACATCCCCCTCACCATGTCCCACTCGGCACAGATGTAGGGTCCTGGGCGCAGGATGACGAGCAGCCCCAGCCCCTGGGCCAGTCTGATAAACGCCTCCAAGTCACGGGGCCCAGTGAAGTCGTAGTGACCGGGGCTGGGCTCGTGGTAATTCCAGGGCACGTAACTGCCAAGAGAGAAAGAGAGAGAAGAGTGTGAGGGAAAGAGGGAGAGATGAAGGGAAAGGGAGTGAGACTGCGAGAGAGACAGAGAGTGAGAGACAGAGACAGAGAGAGAGAGAGAGAGAGAGAGAGAGAATGAGGGAGAGAAAGAGTGTGAGGGTGTGAGTGAAAGAGAGGGAGTGAGAGAGAGCGTGAGAGTGAGAGGGGGAGTGACTGTGTCAGGGGTCGGGGTGGTGGTGTGTGTGTGTGTGTATGTTGAGGGTCAGACAACGGCTGATGAAGTGACATTGACGTTGGGTCACTCACATCTGGATGGCGTTGAGCCCGGCCATGTACATCTTCCTGAGCCGGTCACGCCAGTACATGCGAGGCACACGGAAATAGTGGATGCTGCCCGCGATGTACTGGAAACACGCTCCGTCCTTACAGAAACAGTCCCTCTGCTTGTCAACCGTGAATGAGCGGCCATCCCCACTCTGAGAGGACAATAGCACAGGCGATCTGACAGCTCAGGTTAGCGACACAGTAAAGCTCCTCTACACTGTGTGTCCACACTCCCAGGTCAGGGTTAGAGACACAGTAACGCTCCCTCTACACTGTGTGTCCACACTCCCAGGTCAGGGTTAGAGACACAGTAAAGCTCCTCTACACTGTGTGTCCACACTCCCAGGTCAGGGTTAGAGACACAGTAAAGCTCCTCTACACTGTGTCCACACTCCCAGGTCAGGGTTAGAGACACAGTAAAGCTCCCTCTACACTGTGTGTCCACACTCCCAGGTCAGGGTTAGAGACACAGTAACGCTCCTCTACACTGTGCGTCCACACTCCCAGGTCAGGGTTAGAGATACTGTAAAGCTCCTCTACACTGTGCGTCCACACTCCCAGGTCAGGGTTAGAGAACTCCAGAACACATGCTGTTTGAGCTGTAATGTGCAGTTTCCTGATGTAATAGAGTCACAAGATCTGTGGAAGTTAACATGCCTGCACTGATCAGAAGATATGAAGTGCCAACGTCCCCATTACCCAGGACTGTGAGATCACCAGGTCCCCATTAAACAGCTGTGATAATGACTCGCCCCCATTACAACAACAACAACAACTTGGATTTACACAAGGCGGGGTCGTGACCCGGAGTGCTTGACAGTGATGGAGTCTGACCCCGAGCCAAGGGGGAGAGGGTGTGGGGGGTGGGGGTGACCAGAAGCACGATCAGAAAGGAAGGTCTTTAGGTGGGATTTGAAAGTGGGGAGGGAGAGAGGGAGGGGGCAAGACCGAGGGATTGAGGGAGAGAGTTCCGGAGTCTCGAGGCGCAGTGGCTGAAGGCACGGCTACTGATGATGGCGGATTGGGGGGTAAGTAGGTCGGAGAGTACCCGGGGCTGTGATAGGGACACATCCCCATTAAACAGCTGACAAAGTCTAACAAACTGACAAGTAAAGCACATCTGATTAAGAGCAAAAATAAACTCACCGCCACTTGGAGTAGGAATAAAATCAGGGGCCAGATCAGAGACAGCGAAGCCATGGTCAGTTATCACCGAGAGAGAGGGAGAGAGACTCAGAGAAAGAGCTAGAAACAGAGCGAGAGAGAGAGCCCCCAACATCAGTGGCAGCCCAATCCGTGTACACAGGCGAGTCTTTACTGGCTCCAACCCACGTCCTGTCCACATCACGTTACCCTTTCCTCACTCCCTCCCCGAGAAAATTAACTCATTAAATGAACACCCTGAACCACAATCCTTAGACATTGGGCATTTTCACTGTGTTCGTTTGCTTTCCTCCCGGACTCTAAGGTGGGAAAGGAGAGAAGAAGGGAGGAGAGGGGAGGAGAGGGGAGGAGAGGTGAAGGAAAGGGGGAAAACAGGTCACTGGGAGATCAGAGATCCCTGGGGAGGGGGGCAGTTGGGGCAGATTATATATGAACTGGAACTAGTTCCAGAATGGAATCCAGATGCTTAAAGGCACCAGGTCCGCGGTGTCTGTCAATGGTGGGGTGGGGGGGGGATTGTGTGTCTGGGATGGGTTGCGGGGAGGGGGTAGAGAGGGAGGGGGTAGAGAGGGAGTGGGTGAAGACGAGAGGTTTGTGGTTAGAGGATGGTGAGAAACGAGGCCAGGGAAACATTAGTGGTTTTAGGTCTCGCCTCTCAAGCGGTTCAACTCCCGGGCGGCCCAAACCATAGGCAAGTCTCCTCACTCCACACACCTGTTTACCAGCAGTGCGTAGGAACCCGGTTGTTAGTCGATTGTCGGATCACTTTTCTGGGGAAACTAATCCCTCCCCAAAACAGTAATAATAATTTGGTAACTCAATCCACGACTGTTTGTGGGACTCTGCGGTCACTCCACTTTGCAGTGTATCCTGTGAAGCGCTTTGAGACGTCTCGAAGACGTGATAAGCCATTATATCAAATGCGAGGATTATTATTATTGAGGTGTGAGGTTGGGAATATCGAGGTGTGAGGTTGGGAATATTGAGGTGTGAGGTTGGGAATATTGAGGTGTGAGGTTGGGAATATTGAGGTGTGAGGTTGGGAATATTGAGGTGTGAGGTTGGGAATGCTGGGCTGGAATGAGCTGCTGACAGAGGCCCTGGGAATCCCACCAGAACAGGAAGCCGGGATCCGGGATCACAGCGAAGGATAGAAAGATATTCCGGATTGAGCAGGGAAAGGTAACTGGGCGTCTGACTGGGCCTCACACACAGCACAATGCCCACAGTGTGGAACATTCTCTGCTCAGACACAGCTTGTGGGGTCCTCGCTGGACAGTGGGTGTTTATACAGACACTAATCCCACCCCCACAATGTGCAAACACCAGGCCTCAGCTCTAACCTGACCTCCTGACTGCCTCATTGTCTCAATACTATGGTCAGTGTAGAGGGAGAGTTACTCCCTCTGCACTGTCCCTATCCCTGACCCGGGAGTGTGGGCACAGTGTAGAGGAAGCTTTACTCGGGTCTCTAAGCCTTTAGTTCACCGCACTTGTTCCTGGTAGACTCACACTCATGCAAAGAACCAACACGCAAATGTAACACAATGAGCCACACGTTTGAGTGAGTGAGTGAGGCAGTGAGTGAGTGAGTGAGGGAATGAGCGAGGGAGAGAGGGAATGAGTGAGGGAGAGAGTGAGTGAGTGCGAAACAAGACGAGAGGCGGAGACGGCTGGTAATTGACACTCCTGTATTTGGAAATTGGAAGCTGAGGTTGTAAACAAAAATAAGGAGTCCCCCCCCCACCCCCCCCACCCGTTGCCCCCTGGAAACTGGCCCTGTTGAGCGCGGCTCCCAGCGAGGATATTAAATACCCCAGTTCAGTCTGTATCTTCCCCCCTGACCCCCGAGGCTCCCCCCCCACCACCACCCACCCAAATCAGACAGACCCCAACTCTGACTCTGACCAAAATCAATATATTCTGGTCCTGTGATACCTACCGCCTGCGGTAGCTGTGCCCGAGAGAGCGATTGGGAAACCCGAATAACAGAGACCTCGTGAGGCAACCCAACCCTATGTCTGACAGACATAACCTCTCTCAATCCCCCCCCCCTCACCCTCACCCTCTCTCTCTGTCTATTTCTCCCTATGTTCATCTGTACGCATCTCTCTCTCTCTCTCTCTCTCTGTTTTTTGTTTCCCGACCGGGGCGAAACCTTCGGGAAGTTTCCTTACTCCCCACGCCTCTGTTTGCAGTTAGTAGGAACCTGGCTGTTAGTCGATTGGCAGATCACTTTCCGGGTGGGGTGGGGGGGTAATAATCCCTCCCCCACCAATCCCCCACCCAAAAAAAATTTGGTCACTCAATCCGCGACTGTTTGTGGGACACAATTGGCTGCAGCGTTTCGCCCACGAAATACAGTCACTACACTTTACACTATATCCTGTGAAGCGCTTTGAGACGTCTCAACGACATGATAAGATATCGTATGCACGGACTATTATTATTATTATTCTTTGTGTCTCTCTCTAGTTCTCTCTATCCCTTTTCCTTGCTAGCAAGGCTTGTGGAGGCACAGTACTCTTCCTCTCTCTCTCTCTCTCTCTCCAGTCCCTACTCTCTCACTGTCAACAGTGTTATACTCCCTCGACCTCTCTGTCTCTCTTTCCGTCTCTGGTTCTCCCTCTCACTCTCTCTCTCTCTCTCTTTCCATATCTCACAAAGAGGAGTCACCTGTTTCCGCACCTCGGGAATGTGAGGCCTTTAAGGCATTTGCATAAATTAGGCAATAATACATACTTCAGCACCAAGGAGCAGATTTGGGAATTCCGGGGGTGGTGGTGGTGGGGGGGGGAGGGAGGTGTGACCAGCACAGAAATCCCACCCCCCACCCACCCACCCCGTCAGATATAATACTCATTAAAAAATACATCAATTAGTGGCAAACTCCAGAGAAGTCTCTCTCTCTCTCTCCCCTCAAATAGTTCCAAGGTGTTGCCTGATATTATAATCAGTTCCCCCCCCTGCCCCTCTCCCCACTTCTTCCCCTCTCCCCCACTTCCTTCCCCCCTCCCCCTCAGTTGTTGTGGAATCCATGAAGAATCCCGGAAGACAAAAGTCCAAAGTCCGCTCTGTGTTGTCTTCGATCTCAGGTTCCATCCACATCAGGAACCAAACCGTGTGGGGTCCTTCGGAAGTGAGTGATGAGGATCCAAGTGGGATTGGGTTCAGGTTGGGTGGGGGGTGTGGTTGAGGTTTGGGTTGGGGGTTGAGGAGAGGCAGAGGGAGGGAGAGAGCGCGCTGGGTCTCTGTTTATCTGCTCCAGGAGCTGAATGGTGAGTCCTGAGTCAGGCTTGTTCTCATGCTGCATCTCTTCTTCACGATCATGTTGATGTAGGCCTTCATTACCTTGGTGATCTCACCCACCTGCAGCCAGACAGAGACCCCAGGGTGGGAGAACGTTAAACCTCCACACGTATACCACCCCCACCCCCCACCCCCACTCTGTCACTCCCCGCATCTCCTTCTTCCATCCCCTTCCCAACCCTCCTTCCTCCCATCACAGAGTTGAGGCCGTTTCATAATGGTGACGTTTCATCTCTGCACTGTTACATAGGAACAGGAGGCCATTCAGCCCCTCAAGCCTGTTCTGCCATTCTATTACATCATGACTGATCTGTACCTCAACCCCAATTACCCATCTTTACCCCATATCCCTTGATCTCCTGACCTAACAAACATCTCTCCTCCTCAGTCTGGACAATGTGAAAGGATCCAACAATCACAGCCTTTTTGGGGGAGGGAGAGAGTTCCAGATTCCCATCGTCTTTGTGTCTGTGAAAAACTGCCCCCGATTTCACTCCTAAATGTCCTGGCTCTGATTTTCAGATGATGCCCCCCTCTGTTCTGGATTCCAATCCCCCCCACACACTCCCCCCACCAGAGGAAATAGTTTCTCGGTATCGTCCCAATCCAATCCCTTTATAGTTTTAAACACCTCAAATTAATCACCTCAATTGGCTGCCACATTTCGCACACAAAATGCACAGTCACTACACTTTACGGTATATCCTGTGAAGCGCTTTGAGACGTCTCAACAATGTGATAAGGCGCTGCATCAAACGCGAGGATTATTATTATTATTATTATTATTATTATTAATTAGCTGTTAATCCGATACGCTTTCCCCGTGTGATGGGAGTCACTCTCTCACCTGAGGCGTCTCGAAGAACATCTCCCTCTCGTCCACGGTCAGCTTGTAGGTATTGGGGAGGGGGGCTCCGAAGAAGACAATATGCTCGTAGGGGAAGGTCTCCAGGGGCCGGGCCTCTCCGCGCTTGTACACGGACACGTTCTCCGCGCTCACCCCCAGCCACAGCTCGTGGGGGAATCCACCCTCCTTACACTGCGGCCAAACACAGTGTCAGTCACTCACTCACACGGCTACCGGTTACTCCCATCACTAACTCAGCCCATTACTGGTTACCCCACTAACCGACTCACCCACCTATTCGCTTCCCCACGAAGCAGTTATTTCACTAAAACCAAATCAAACAGCATCAATTACTCATCAGACACCGGAGGCTGGTGAGGGTGTGAAAGCGGGGAGTTGAGGGGGGCACGGAGCCTGTTGTGGCAGTGGTGTGAGGGCTGAGGGGGGGGGGAAACAGGAGGTGAGGGGGTGTGAGGGGTGCCAGGTGCGGGTGGGGGTATCAGGGGATATGAGGGAGGGTGTGTGTGTATGTGAGGGTGTGTGAGGGGTTGTGTGAGGGTGTGTGTGTGTGAGGGTGTGTGTGTGAGGGTGTGTGTATGTGAGGGACTGTGTGTGAGATGGTGTGTGAGGGGTTGTGTCAGGGTGTTTGTGAGGGTGTGTGTGAGGGTGTGTGAGGGTGCGTGTGAGGGTGTGTGTGTGTGTGTATGTGTGTGTGAGGGTGTGTGGGGGGGGGGGTGTCTCGCCAGGTGTGATCACGCACATTACCTCGATGTCGAAGAGAGTGGAGCCGTAGCCAGGCCAGTCCATGACAATGGCCATGTAGCGGAGCAGGGCCTGGTGTTGGCTGAGGGCCTGGTGTTGGCCGAGGGCCTGGTGTTGGCTGAGTCGCTGCCACTTGTCCGAGATGCTAATGCGTGTGGCCGACATCTCCTCCTTCAGCCACATGGCCAGCATCTGCTCCTCCTCCAGTCGCTGTTTCCTGCCACAGCCGGTGCGGAGACTCCGCCGCAGGGTGCCCTCCAGGAAGCTGGTCCTGCGGCGCTCCAGGGTCTGGGCGTTGGTCTTGGTGGAGTGGGAGATCCTGGCTCTCAGTTTGCCGATGGGATAGACCTCGGCCAGCGTCACCCCGCCCTTCACGTACCCCCCGTGAAGGTACTGCAGACGCAGGGCGGCCAACAGCTGTAACGTGTCCTCGGGGGCCGGGAAGTGCCCACTCAGCAGGCTCTCGTGGGCCTGCGGACAGACACAACGCACACTTACACACCCTTGCACTCAATTGCACTCACTCACACTCACTTACAGTGTGTGTGTGGGTGTGTGTGTGGCTTAGTGTGTGTGTGTGTGTGGTTGGGGCCCTCAGTGTAGCCGGCAGGATTGAGGCGGTGGGTGTGAGATACTGCCTGGGTGTAAGGTGCTGTATACATTGCCAGGACCTATTGTCGCTGTTGTTGTTGTCACTGTTGTCGCTGCTGTTGTTGTTGCTGTACCTGCTCGAACATGAAAGCGAATTCCACGCCATCTTTGGCCACATTCTCCACATCCAGAAAACAGTAAAGTTTGAAGTAAAGCTGCCACTGTCCATCCTCCTCCTCCTCCTCGCTCCCCACCAGCCTGCGGGCAAACACCCCCATCACTCCCTCGCTCAGCCAGTACCCCCCACACAGCCCACCCCGCACACAGCCCCCACCCACACACACACAGTCCCCACCCACACACATACACACAGCCCCCACCCCCCCCTCCCCCCCCCTCCCCCCCACACTCACACACACACTCACAGCAATCGTTACCTCTCGAACTTGGCCAGGATGTCAGCCACGATGACCCGGCTCTCTATGGCTCTGTGCACAGTCAGGCTGTGCTCAAACAGAGCAAACATGTTACGGCTGTTCTCCATGGCCAGTCCCCGGATCAGCTTCTCCACCACCTGCCAGAGGGCGAGGGCATCAGCATGGGCACAGGGAGGGCACGGGGGGGGCACAGGGAGGGCACAGGGAGGGCACAGGGGGGGCACAGGGAATAATATAATAATAATTCTTGCACTTGACACAGCGCTTCATCACGTCTTCGAGACATCTCAAAGCGCTTCACAGGTTACACTGTAAAGTGAATTGACTGTATATTTTTTGGGCAAAACGCGGCAGCCGATGGCGCACAGCGGTGTCCCCACAAACAGCCGGGGATTGAGGGACCAAATTATTATTTTAATGAAGGGATTATTACCCCCGGAAAAGCGATCCGTCAATCCACTCACAACCAGGTTCCTAGTTACTGCTGGTAAACAGAGATGCGCGCGTGTGTGCGTGTGCGTGTGTGCGTGTGTGTGTGTATGTGTGTGTGTGTGTGTGTATATGTGTGTGTGTGTGTGTGTGTGGAGTAGGGAAACTTGGCTAAGGTTTCGCCCTGACTGACCCGCCTGGGAATCGAACCCGGGTCCTCTCGCTTGCGAGGCGAGTGCTCTAACCACTGAGCTACAGGACTCCACGCCCAGACGGGCTGCGCTCTCACCTCCCCGGCTGTGGTGTGGGAGTTGATGGTGATTTTACAGGAGCCGCCGCCATGACAGTAAACTGTGGTTACCATCTCCTGCCGCGTGACCAGCGCCAGGATCTCCTCTTGGGACGGCACAAACTCCCGCTGTTTGGTCTTCTTCAGGGACTCGCCGATAAAGCTGGCAAACTTCTCCATCTCCGTCCCGGGATACTGCTCCCTGATCCTGCCAGGAGAGGAGGAGAGGGTGGAACACACACACACACACACTCACCCTCACACACACACTCACATACACACACACACACCCTCACATACACACACACACACTCACCCTCACACACACACTCACTCACTCACCCTCACACACACTCACTCACCCACACACACACACACACCCTCACATACACACACTCACTCACCCTCACACTCACCCTCACATACACACACACACACTTATACACACCCTCACACACACTCACACACGCACTCATACACACACACACTCACCCTCACATACACACACACACACACACTCACCCTCACATACACCAACACACACTCACCCTCACATACACACACACACACATACGTATACACACACAGCCCCTCACACACATCTGTTTATCAGCAGTAAGTAGGAACCCGGTTGTTAATTGAATGGCAGATGGCTTTCCGGGGGTAATAATCACTCAATCCACGGCTGTTTGGGAGACACTGCTGTGCGCAATTGGCTACTGCATTCCGCTTTACATTATATCCTGTGAAGCGCTTTGAGACGTCTCAACGACATGATAAGGCGCCGTATCAAATGCAGGGATTATTATTATTGCTGATCTGTTTGGATGGCTGTGTAGAGAGTGAGATATAGTAGTAGAGAGCAAGCGAGAGATGGCGAGATGGAGGTAGAAAGAGAGATGGAGAGAAAGTGACATTGTTATATATAGAACGAGAGGTAGAGACAGAATGAGAGATGGAGGTAGAGAGCGAGCGAGAGATAGAGAGAAGGAGAGAGAGAGAGAATGATAAGAAAAGCATCAATGTTCATGTGTTGTGAGCACATCTTTGACCCGCGGTTTCCACGGTGACGGCTGTGTGGCTTTGATGGAGGCCCGAGGATAGGCCTCCTGATAGAATGACAGATCTAGTAAAGCGAGGAGCCTGGGGATCCCTGGGGAGTGGGGGGTGGGGGCCGGGGGTGGTGGGAGGGGGGGAATGGATGGATCAAGTTTCCCGATTCGCCACCTGCCAGATTTGGGGACGGCTCGGAAGAAAGAAAGTCAATAAACATCCACTTTGCTCAGATTACTGAATTACAGCCTCAATTACCATCCATTACTGGTCTCTCTCAATCTCTGTATTACTATCTCTACCTTTCCCCCAACTCCCCCCCCCACCCTAACCCCCCACACAAACCCCCACCCCCCACCCCCTCCCCCCAGCTGACCCCCAGCGGATAATAGGGCAGCAATGATTATCCGCGCTGAGCTCCCACCATAAAAAAAATACATTTTTAAAAAATGCTAATAATTTGGTCAGTCAGTCCAGGACTGTGTGTGTTTGTGTTTGTGTGCGGGGGTGTGGGTGGGGGGGGGGGGTGCGGTGGTGGGGGGGGTCACTGCTGTGTGCCTGGTGGCCTCTGAGTCTGACTGCCTCGCGAGGCGAGTGCTGTGACCACTACACTACAGGACTCGGAATTCAGGGCGTCACAAAGCAGAAGGTCCTTCCGAAGCCAAACGGTCTTGTTACTGCACAGCTGAGCTCACAGACCCCCCCCCACCCCACCCCCACCACCCCCCTCCCAGCCCGGCCTCTGTAACCTTTAAACACTGCAGCCATTAAACCCTCGGATCACATTTGCCTTAGATGAATGCCGGCCTTCAGAGAGCTCTCGCCTGAGGGTGAGAAACCGAACAGCAACACAACCTGACTTGTTACACAGACAGAGCTGACGTCTCGCAGACGCGCCACTCCCCCCCCCCGGTCAGCTCGTTTCTCAGCCGCTCGCACTCTCCAACACCCCCCCAACCCCACACCCACCCACCCCTGCCGCCCCGGGTCAACCCCAGTCCAGGCTGATGCCCCAACGCAGCGCTGGAGAGAGAGAGAGAGAGAGAGAGAGAAAGGCGTATTGTCGGAGATGCCGTTCCTTTTCAGATGAGTCTCTCTCACTCTCTCCCCGTCTG